TGGACGAGATAGTGGACGAGATAGTGGACGAGATAGTGGACGAGATAGTGGACGAGATGGTGGGCGGTATGTGGACGCGGGTTGTGCTGCTTGAGTTTGGGCCAATCAGATCCTTGGATCCAATTTGACCCACTCACGCGCCCAGTAGAGATGATTGCAGTCTCACTCTGCCAATATAACGAGGACGTAGAATGCTTATGCCGAAACGAGCATTGTGAACCGCAAGTGGAATGGTGGGAATAGACATCTTGCAGCATGGGACTCTGATCTCTTACAGGGGTAATGCGCCATCGTCTACGCACATTTGTGCATATATTGGCATACACCAGTTGCCTTGTTTCTATGGACAACTAAGAACAGCAGCCGACCATGAGCAGCAAGTCTCGTCCGTTCCCCGGAGCCGTAGCTGTTCCACTTCGTGTTCCAACAGCAATTGAACCACCATGTCCGCCAACATGCCCTCCATCCTCGCCGAGGCTCTTTCCCAAATACATTGTCACGGGCGAAACAATGCAAGCCGTATCTCCATGTGCGGCCATTGAACTGATTGATCGACTCAAAGAGGTATGTGGCATGAGGCTTAGTAGTTAAAGATCTTGCTAATGTCAAGTAGGATAAGGACGAGCGAGGCGGGACAAAATGGGGGTTTAGGTGGATAGACGCCAAAACCGTCTTGATGATTTGGCGGAAATCTGGTAATCCGAGCGGTGATTTTGGATTAATACTTCAAGAAATCCTCGGCTGGCCTGATCATGAAGTAGTGCTGCAAAGAGTATATTGCGAAAAACGTACGTTAGTTTAAGTGTGGTGGTCCAAGCATCTGGAGGTAGTTTTATAATGCAGTTTTTAAACTTTTGTTGCTCAATTGTATCAACGGGGGAATCATGTGCATGTAAACAGTCAACTAGATATTGACTCTCATCAAGTGCCAATGTTTGAGCGGAGCAATCAAGTATACAATCCTGATCCAGGCTGCAGAACATGTAGAGCTAGCCTATACTACATCATTACCGCTGCTTGACTCATCAACACAGTTTCTCCAAAGTTTGTCCAAGTATTGCAGCATCCCGTCCGTTCCGAAGGCAGGGAGTCGGTTGCTGCAGAGTAGGTCGGAGAACCTGCAATGCGATGTGATTCCATGGCATTGGGTCGCCTTGAACGTCCAACAATGATTGTTCAGCTCCAGCCTTACCAAATGTCACCCGCAAGAATCGCCACGCCCCACCCATGATCGAGCAGCGCTAGTTCCAAAACTGATCTGTAGGTGATCATTCGATATTTATATCCGTCGTAGCTATTGCGAACACGCACCGCACCGTTTGGCCGGTATTATAGGCGGCTTGCATGTTGCTTACATTTTCAGCAATCTCAACATGGTTTTGGCATTGCTGCATTCTCCAGTACAGTTTGATGGTCCGTGATGTCCGCCCAATCTTGGATTTATGGGCAATCATAAGCAGGAATCGCCATGCTCCATACCTGGTCCAGCAGCGTTAGTTTCAATATTGAGTCGTGGGAGCTTGATCCATAATCCAGCCGGCAAACCGTCGCGAACACTGCATGCACACCAAGGTGATCCCCTAGTCAAGCCAGCATTGTGGCCCATGGGTGGCTCAAAGAAATTTGTTAGATAAGGACGACAGGGCCTTTCCATCTCCGATGACTGAAGCTTAGAGCTCTTTGATATCCCATCATTCAGAAGTGTTACCTATGATGATGATATTGACACTATTCGCGTCCCTTTACGCACCATGTCTGATGATAGCCTTTGCGGTCGCCTTTCTGTACCTTAACCGCTCTCCTTCATTAGCCAGACGAAATATTCATTTCAACGGAAACCGATGGACGCTGGTCCTCCCGATACTCTTAATTGTGGCCAGTTACCTCGAGCGGCTGCATTCGTCCTGAGCCAGGCCGTTGTGATCAGTGAGCGGCAGGCACCACGACACGGCACAGTCCTCGCAACTCTTCTTCTAACGCTTCACTCCATCCGAGCTGTAACCCTAGCTGGTCTTACAGTCCGTAGTAGCTTCTTGGTTTTCGAAAGACAGTGCGCTTCTGGGTCTGATACCGAGCGCGAACCGCTTCGTGACGGCAGCAATCATGTACCCGGATCAGAGGACGAAGACCCTGGCAAGCATGACCTCGACAAGGACGTCAAGATGAAGCAGCAATAGCGGCTCGAGGAACTTGGCCGGATCGACTATCTCAGGTCTTTCACTGTCTTCCTGCCTCATCTCCTACCAAAAAACGATCTCAAGGCGAAGCTCTGCGTACTCGCTCTGGTAGTGAATATTGTAGCTGCACGCGTCCTTACTCCCCGACAAATTGGTTTACTCACCGATAAACTGGCAGCCAGCTTCGCCACTGGCAATGTGCCTTGGAAGGAGGCTGGCATGTGGATGCTGTTTGCATGGCTCAACGGTGCGGCAGGTCTTCGTCTGGTCAACCAACTCGCACTCGCGGAGTTAAGGATCCAATCACGACAGGGATATGCCAACTTGCGTTCCAGCATATCATGAGTCTATCCATGGACTTCCACAACCTTTAAAGAGTCAGGCAAAGTTTTGAGATCAGTAGAACAAGCGAATGCCATGAGTGATCTGTTCGAAATTGTGTTTCTTGAATTCACGCCCCAAGTCATCGATATCATGGTTGGAATGTGGTACATAACACATTTGTTCGATGCCACATGGGGATTGACTTGTGCTGCATACGCGTGGGCTGGTACAGCCCTCGCATTCTGGACAAGACCGAAACGACGAACATACACTGCCAAATCTCGCGTCGACAGCCAAGTAGTCCATCAGTCCATCTGAAATTGGCTAACGGTGTCGTACTTTAATCGTGCGGCTCATGAAGGCCAGCGTTATAAAGGTGTGGTTCATGACACGGATGAGGCTGTGTGGGGGTGCGTGGTGTCTGATCATGAGCTCGATAAGGAGATATGGAAGGACTATGTAGATACAGTGGCCTCAGCAGATCTCAACATTCGAATCTACAATATCGGCATCGCCGTAGTGCTGGAGCACAGATGACGTCTTTACTCCGGGGCCCATCTCACTGGCGCCCTTGATATCCGTTGACTTCGCGTCTTGATGGTCCTAGGCGTAGGATGTGGTCGCTGAGTGGCCAACCGGTGGTGAGGCCGTGCCTGATCTCGAATCGGCCCGTCGCAGCTGCACTGTGCCCTTGATCGCGATTTGGTCCCAGTATCAGCGAACCGATTTGCCTTGGCCACTCTCTGTGGAAGAAGTTGGCCAAGTGCCTTCTCTTTGGCACGCCGAGGCTTTATCTCCCGACGCTTCGGCATCTGTCCAGTGCCACTTGGCATCGTGACGGCCGAGTCTACGGAGAGAGGCTTGGACATTGCAGCCTTGAACGGCCGGGTCCGTATATTTCGGCCCTTTGGCGTGGACTTCGATACCCTCGCCTTCCCGAGGACAGTCGGAGTATTCCATCGCTTTGAGCGCCACTGACGATTGGATGAGGAGTTCTGATCACCGCTGCCTTTCTCGAAGGGTGTCGGAGGTAGTGGATCCATCGCAACTCGACATTGTTCAATCCAACGCAGGATGACCTCGTGCCATCGCAGGGTTTTTTCGGCATATTCAAGGCGTTGGCGAATGGCTCTTTCCTGCTGTGTTGCATATGCTGAACCTTCCATGTCCGTATCACTGGCTTCCCTCTGATTGTTATCCAAGTCTGTCTGTAGTCCATCTCGTTTCTTTTCCTGCAACTCATGAAGTCTGAGATGGTAGTCCTGAAACTCAATCCAATTCTGTTGCTGACTCTGCTGTTGCGGGTCCAACAGTAGATGAACGTTGCCGTCCAATCCATGCGCTCGTCGACGCTCGCGAAGCTCGTCCACAAACATGCTGAATGATTTGTTTCGATAGCGGTACCGCAGTCTTCGCTGAGACTCTCGAAATTTTCGCCAATCCGACCTCTGGGCGCAGAGCACCACATCATCTGTTGATGAGAATGATTTCCAATACTCTACTATCTGTCGGTACTCCTCGGGCGGGTTTCGAACGGGGACGTCGAGGTGGGGCGGGTAGCAGGGAGGACATCCATCACTTTCCAGGTCCTGACGAGCCTGGGCTTCTAGCAGGCGAGATTCTTCGTCATCTTCTCCCTCGTCTGGAGGCGGTGTGATAGTTCTGCGTCATTATTCGGGTCAGTATGCGAGGAGATATTTTGGGACGTGTGGACGAACTGCAGTCTCAACTCGAGAGCATCAGCGTCTGGATGGTCTGATATCAATCGTTGCCTTGAGAACACGAGAGTCAGCTTGATGAGCTGGTACTGTTTGGGTATGTCAGAAGCCCATACTCTGCTTTCTTGAGAACTGTGATGCGTTGGGACTCGGGGAGTGTCTCGACGCCTGGGAGGGCGATAATACTGTCCGCAGAAGCCGGAGCATTAGCATGGTCAGTTGGTGTTTTGGTTGGAAGGCCATCACGAGGCATCACGTTACCTGATATCGCCGTATATCTTAACTGTAGCTTGTGCAGCCAAATTGTCGACAAAAGATTCAGTTGGTGAGATCATTGTGCGGAGAGAGGCTTGTTGTGGTGAATGCACCAGCGGTGCTATCCAGTGCGGTCTTTGTTAAATTAAACGAAAAATGAGCTATACATAGACTTGAACACGGAGCAGCGATATTGGTATAAAATTTTAAACTTAAAGCGGCACTGATACTTCGGTGCAGCTGAAGTATATTGATCCAGTGAAAAAAAGAGGCAACATTGTTGTGGATGCGACTACATAGCCGCCACAAAATAAAATGCCCAGGGATGTGGCCCCTAGCCATATAAACCTTGACCTGACTCTTGTAACTCAAAACGAAGCTTTTCTCTCTCCTTCTCCAACCTATGCCTATAATTTAGTATATGTTAAGTGTTGTTATTACAAACTTACTTCTGCTTAAGATCTCTGACCATCTCTTCTGCTGAGGTAAGTCTGTTTTTTTGTTTTGAAGCCTTTTCTGCCACTTGATAATCCTAAGCTCCATGCTTTCTTCCCACTTGAATCGTTAGTCCACCTTGGTCATATAGAGCGGGAATGTCAACAGATTGAATATAGCCGTTATGGAAGATATGCTTTCGCGGTTGTACCCGCCAAATCTCACCGTCTTTTTCATATATAGCCAGACAGATTATACACGAGCCTTTCACCGCAAGGCCGTCCAAGACACGCAGGTCTCTCTTGCCAAGTTTGAAATTCGCCGAGCAGCAGGGCGGCGACGGCTTGAAAAGACCGTTTCCTTTGACTATTATTTTTGTGCAGGTTTAAGAATTTGAAAGATTGCAAACGTCTAAAAACAGAGAGGACCAAATATCATAAAGACTACTTTATACTAATAAATTCTATATCAGTCTAGATTAATGCGATTCTCACTGACTGCTGCTATAAAACCAAAGAATATTCTTTATATCTCACAGAATTACTTATATTATGTAATCTTCATAAAGTAGTTCTCTTTACCATGTATGTGGCAAGACAAATCAGTACTAATGACAGTATTACTACCATAACTACATTTAAACACCATCTCCACCATTACATCCTTGGCTCCTTGTCTTTGCTCATGCTCAGACTGTCCCTAAAGAATTGCAAATCTATCGCGTTCAACTCCCGCTCTTCATGTTCTTCAGGGCCAATCCCCAATATCATACGTGCTGCATAATCAATCTCTTTTATTGGCCACCACTCTTTCCTGAATTGGCCAGTGACAATGATTTTGTCGAGATTAGGAATTCGTCTTAACGCATGAAGGAACGCCATAGCATCAGCCTGGCCATTTGTGATAGCCTCCGGTGTCATTTCAAAACGAAACACTGCCACAAATCCCCAGTGAAGCCTAAGCTCCCGTACTGCACCTGCTTGTTCAGCCAGTTTTAAGAAAAGTTGTGACCACGAAGAAAGATCTAGCCCGACATGTATATCGAGTTTCTTTATAAAAGCGGTGTTCTTTAATCCGATCTGCTCGATAAATGAAACCATCAGGCTGGGCTCCAGGGATGAAAACACGTTCTCTGAGTAGAGTATTGGGTTGCCTTCGCCATATATTTGCTTGCAAGTCCGCAATATTTGAGGATAAATTGTTTTATCGTCAAGATATTTACAGCCGGGAAGCGTTATCAATCGTTGATCTGTGTCCCCAACTGCCCATGCAGGATTTCGCCTTTGCCCCATATAACTTATCAGCAGTTCTTTGTATATGTCGAGTCGGATTTCGAGTGGAATTGCCAAAAATTGCGTTACCATTTTGTTTGTGTTTACGTGAACAGTAAGCAGTCTGCGTGTAAGATCGATCTAGCTGTTGAGGATCCTGAGCTGAATTAAACCACGTGACATACCCCTCAGCGGAGTGTTTCCGCACCAGGAAAGCACTCATGCGACACGAAACCGATCTAGGAACAGCGAGAACCTAAATTACTGGAGTTCAATCATTCTATCGTGCATACATAGTCCTCTAGAGGCCTCGAGTCGCCCTGTAAGAGCCGCGCCGCCCAGCAAGGCTGCACAACATGGCGAGCCCCTGGCCGCAGGAGGTCGCATGGCCTACCAATCTCCACGAGCACGCAGCACACCTCACGAAGCATCTGCAAGAAGCGCACAACCATGTGAATAGCAATGGGGCTCGACCTCTACCCGCAGAGCAAGCACGCCTGATCATTCGGGGCACACTATCATTGCTCATGAAAGTACACAAGACCCCTGACCTCACCACCCTTAATAAACGCCATGTATACAGAGGCCAAAGCCGACGCGAAGAGCACCATTGAAGCGATCGAAGCAATTAAACAAGATGTAAAGATGGCAAGGGACTCAATTCAGAAAGGACTACAGATGAGACAGGAAGCAGAAACGGCGGCACAGGAAGCAAAGACGGCAGCACAGGAGGAGGCAGCGAGCGCTGGCAAGGCGGCAGCAGGACTAGCAAAGGAGATCAAACACAAGACACCGCAACAGGCCTCAATACCACTAAGCTACGCGGCAGTGGCGGCCCGAGGGATGCTAGCAGCGAGCATACATAGCCCACAGAATGCAAAAACACCACCTGCCCAAACACAGCGCGAGATCATCGTGAATATCAGAAGTCCACAGACCATTGAGAACCTACGCGCCAAGGGCCCTCGCCATCTGAAGACCCACGTTGAGCAGGCCATTGCCCAGAGCGAAAATGAACTTAAAAACGACCACACAGGCTGAGATGCAGGCCCTTCGACAGTTTGCTGACGACTGGACCCCCAGACTCGGCAGAGGCGCATCAATAAGGAGCCAGACATACGGGGTCCTCGTACACGGCATCCGGGTGAGAACGATGGACGTGAGCGCGGACAGAGTCGAAGATACAAAGGATGCCCCTGTGGAGGAGGCCGCCAAACAGTCGGCCACGCGCTCCTGCGATGCCGACTGCTCCAGGACGAACGACGGATCGAATTTGGGAATCTACCGGGCAGAGAGGACCTACGGAAGGTCCTCTCAACGCGCAAGCTAGCCACGAAAGCAATCGCACTTATAGAACAGGCAAGGGCCCTAGGGCAGAGGGCGCCGAGCGAGTAGATGAGCAGAGCATTGGGTGGAGACTGAAGGTAGTATAGACGGCAAAACATGGGGCGTGCCCCACTGAGCCTATATATAATTGAATTGCGAGTAGTAGAGCCAGTATCAACAAATAGTGAAAGCTATTTGAAGGTTGAGGCAGATGGTAAGAGGGTGGGTGAAAGAGGAGACTGGCCACGTTTGTTTACTCTCTGAGTCTACACACGCGGTGACGAGGGACGTGCTAGGTCACATGCCAAGGTTCTCGTTGGCCATGGCCTGTCAAGTGTCAGTCAACTGGCGAAGCCGGCCTAATCGGGCATAGCTGCAGACAATTAGCAGCCAAAACCTCGATGCTTCCAAGTCGCTCCAAGCCCTCATATGACAAATAGCTGGCACTAGAGATTGCCGAGCTGCTACGCCTCCTGTCTGGGTCCTTGATGTGGTTCTACTTCTTCGTGGCCTTTTCTTCACGGGTTTGACCACCGCGCAAGTATGAAGTTAACGAACTTTCTTTTCAGCGTTTGTTCTCCGATATATCAGTATGATTTCGTTCTTTCTAAGTTCCTCTATCGAAGTTGTCTTCGAATTCAGTATACAGCTTTTGAAATTTAGAAGGGCTTGCTGAAGCGATTCAACTCACATAGCGGAGCATCGAAGGCATAGCAATTCTCGAAGTGGCGTCGCATCGCTGTTCCGTTTCAGGCGCTACCAGATCGCGGCCAAAATGGAATAGCTGCTCAAATTTCGGGCCAGCCACCCGAAGGATCATCGTCGAGACGGGAATCTGTGCGAGCTGCTCTCAGTAATAATGTTAAGCCAAACAAGTAACGTAATCCACCATCAAGCGGTCACCACCATCGAGCGGTCATTTTTCCATAGCCTTGTCGAACACATCATCTTAATTATTTAATGGCTTCACCACAATTGCAATTACAGCTTGAAAAAGAAGGCAGAATTATTCTTGCAGTCCATGCAATCAAATCTAAGCAAATTCAAAAAATATCTGACGCTGCACGCCTCTATAATGTACCTCGAACAACTCTCAGTGCTCGCGTCCAAGGACGCGTTGCACGCGTTGATTTACGCGCAAATCGCCATAAACTCACTATCTTAGAAGAGGAGGCTGTAGAAAACTGGCTGCTATGCATGGATAGCCGTGGCTATCCATTAACAGTTGCTGGAATGCATGCTGCAGCATTATTGCTGCTCCAACAGCGTGTTGGACCAGATGCATATATCGGAGTCAACTGGGCAAGTCGCTATATTGCTCGTCATCCAACGCTTGAATCACAATATGCACGCAATTAGGATTACCAACGAGCAAAATGCGAAGATCCTCAGCTAATTAGAGATTGGTTTCGGCTTGTACGCAATACAATTGACAAATATGGTATCCTTAACGACGATATCTATAACTTTGATGAAACCGGCTTTGCAATGGGCATTGCAAGCACCTCACGCGTGGTTACTGCTCGAGAGAGACGAGGTAAACCTATGCAAATCCAGCCTGGTAATTGAGAGTGGGTAACAGCAATTGAGGCAGTTAATGCAAACGGATGGTGCTTGCCTCCAATGGTCATCCTCAAACGCAAGACACACATAAATGCGTGGTATGATGGTGTTATACTACCTTCTTATAGCCTTGCAGCTGTAAGTAAGAGTGGATGGACTAACGATGAGCTGGGATCAAGGTGGTTATGCGAGGTTTTTGAGCCATGCACAGCAGCAAAGACTGTTGGTGTCTTCCGGCTGCTCATCCTTGATGGCCACAGTAGCCACGCCACGCCTGAATTCGACCAGTACTGCAAAGATCGATCAATTATAACACTCTGTATGCCTCCTCACTCATCACATCTACTGCAGCCACTGGATGTAGGCTGTTTTGCATCACTCAAGAAAGCATATGGAGATCACGTGACAAAGCTCATCAGACTCGGTGTCAACCATATTCAAGTCAAGTCAAGTCAAGGTACCACATGGGCAAATACCGTACCGTACCGTACCGTGGGACACCCTACCTCTGGGCCAGGAAATTAAAATACCTGTATTTCATGCGTTGGGCGCCGCGTCAGGCCTCGTCTAACTGCTAGATAGAGGAGTGTGTATGCTCAGTTAGAACCTACTAGATTCCAAGAATTCACATTCTCGCTGTTGTGGTCCCTTTCTGTCAGTTCTGCAGGTAACAGAATGGAACCAGCCATGTGTTATGAGGTGACCCCATCACAGGGCTTAGGTTTAGAACTAAAATATTTTTTGTTTTCCTTTTTAGACCTATTATTAGAGTAATATCTAGATATTCTACATAATATTCTTTTATTTTCACATCGCTATTATAGGTGCTATTTTTTTTCTTTAAAAAAAAACATAAATCTAGGGGTTGTTCAGGGTTCTTATGAAAGCGTGTTAGGAACACTACACAAGACCGTCAAGCTTAACTAGCGTAAGCCATTCCGGAAGGCATGAGCTTCCTAAAGCTAAGGAACAGCATGGTACTTTGAGCTTGAATGGAAGAAGAGAACCAATAAAGATAAGAAAAGGTTTGTGACTTAGCGTATTTCGCTTCAAAGTGAAAAGAAAGATTCAGACTGACAAACTAAATAAGCTAGACGTTTGAACTTCGGTCGAGAAAATGAGTGAAAGTCTTGACACTTTTATAGAGTCAGCTTCCATGAGCAGCAACTCGACATCTCACACTAGCGGAGCTATGTACCTTGTACATGAACAGGCATCACCATTTACATCAACCGAATGCACTCCCTTTCTCAGATCATTGACGCTAAGAGATTAAGAAGAAATTGAAACGGACTCCTGAAACGGTTTCGGATAGGACATAGAGGACATGGACACGATTGCACCCCTGGTTGAGGGTTCCTGTTACAGGAAAAAGACAGACTCACCATAATTAGGCGCGAAGGCGATGACGCGATCGTAGTTTTGGGGTTAGCTATGGCTGGAGTGCTTAGGATTGGTGATAAAAGTAACTGGTACCAAACTGCGGGAAAAATCGATGCGCTTACAATTGAGAATAGGGATGGTAAAGTCGAATTTGTTACCACCTCGTGGCTCGACCTGGTCAACTCAGTCTGGAGCCTGCTCGCAAACATCTGGCGTGATCGAGGGAAAATTGTGAATTTAATCAAGCAACTTAATCATTTGAATTGAACTAGCGGCGAGTTTCCAGGGAGTCGGCACTCTATTCACTTGCGTCGGCTTTCACAGTCTCACAAAACCAAAGACCGCGGGTAGGCCGTCCAACTTGCGTGGTATCTATTTGCGTTATCTAATATATTTATGATATGATAGTCAGTCTGCTAAAATCATTCACTAGGCCTTATCTTCTTTTCCAACGCCAACCATTCATCGAAGGTATAATCGCTATTCGCCTTCCTTAACCTGACAAATCCTGCTATTATCACCAAAGCCATAGCCGCACAAGCGAATGCAAACCAGAAAACATGTTTGTAGCTCTGCTTGACTTGTTCATCTGTTTCCTCTCCTGCAATGAGGCCCCCAACTCCTAGAAATAGGGCGATACTCAACTGTAGTAGACTGTTGGCTAAACCTCCCGCCAAACCTTGACGCTTCGACGGCATAGAGTTACTAATAAAAATATTCGCTAGGGAGAATGTGACATCAATACCAATTGTAAAAGTTAGACATGCGGGAAAGATGTATATCCAATAGCTAGCCCCGATAGGGATGATAGCAAAGAGAAGACAAGCAATGAGGAGGGAGACGCCAGCAATGAGTATAAGAATAGTGCCGTGGATACGATGGAGGAAAAATCCACCGATTGTGGCAATGACGAAGCCTCCGACTGCTAGAGGTCTATGAAAAGTAAATATCGGATTGCTGAAAGAGGGCCGGATGATAAACTTACGTGTACCAGGCGACAAGCTGCATCGGTGATGCACCCATAAAGTCAGTCATATATAAAGTCGAGTACAGGATCCAGTTTCCAAGTACACCATATTGAAAAAACAAAGCGATGAATAGTGGCTTTATGCATGGAGTGTCGAAGAAATCGAACGGCAGCAAAGGTTGCTCAGCTACCCAGCCTTCGAAATAGAATGCGACGACAAGACAGAGCACACCGGCAGTCAAGATGAGGTTCATGTATATTGCTTCACGGGGTTTGAGGACATTCGCGCTATTGGTGATTGCGAAAACGACGAGGGTGAGACCGATTGAGATGAGTCCGGCTCCGGGCCAGTCCATCTTCACACCCATAGCTCGACGTTCTTCAATATCGGATGGTATGGTCCAGAATGCCGCTACTGCTGTGAGAGCTGCCAAAGAAGCGCCGATAAAGAAGTACCTCATACACAAGTCAGTCAAATACCTCCAAAACAACTACAGTGGGAGATCCTACCATCGCCACGCAATATACTGCGCACATAATCCCGCAAAGAAGATCCCCAGAAAAAACCCCAAAGGTGCACAAGCGCCATACACGCTGAAGATAATGTTTTTTCTCGGTCCTGGTCTATAGATGCTCCCCAGTAACATCAAGCTACTTGGTAAATAAGCAGCAGTGCCAAGACCCTGGCTCGCCCTCGTAAGGCTCAGCGTCAAATTGCTCGGGACAAAACCAGCGACCAAACTCCATACCGCCAGCCATATAATGCCCCCAAGGTATAATGGAAAGCCACCATACATGTCCGCTAGGCGACCGAAGAAGAGCAGGAACGAAGCCACGGCAAGAGAAAAAGCGTTGACCGGCCATGTCTGAGCTTCGCGAGGGATATGAAGATCCTGCGATACCGTGGGCAGCAAAATATTGAAGCCTGAAATAAAGTACTCTGTAAGGAGTTGTGACATGATGACAGAAAATAAGAACCCCAGCTCAGTCCATGCTGATTTGAATTGTGAAGGCCGTTCCCGACCTAGGCGCTCGAGGAGGGCTTTGTGTGATTCTTTAAGCTCCTCTTCAGATTCACACACTTCATTCGGTGAAACTGAAGCTGCTACCTTAGCTTTTACTATATGGTCGTGCATTGAACCTATCTCGACTTGGATAGGAAAAGGCTGCCAAAGAGAAGAAAAGGCAAGGTGACACCAAATGCAAAGCCCTGACTAGTTAAAACAATTTATACTTCTCGAAGTCATACTACCTAACGAGAGTAAAACATAAGAATACTGAGATATTTATGCATTTCATTTCTGTAATACCGAATCATACAGCGTTACTAGGCTATATGGACTATTGAGAGTTAAGCGTAGGTTAAAAATACAGAACTTTGCTGATACAAGATCATGCCGAGCCTTGATGAAGTGGCTCGAATAAAGAGCTCCTCAAAAGCAGAAAGTCACATAATGAGTACCTCGCTCGTTACATAGTATGGGCTTAATTCAAGCGTTCAACATCTAAGTACTGTCACGGATTCCCCTCCATGATACACGAATAGGCATCGTGCTGTAGACTCGCCAGAACTTGAACATTGTTATTACTGCATCAAGTGAATGCAACGATAGAGATTTGTCCGAACTAGACACAACATCAAGTATTCTACGTGTCCTTGCAAGGATTCTCATACCTAGGAGTAGAGCATCTGAAGACACGAGCGCAGGCAAAGAGACATATTTTAAGGAACAACGAAATCGACTGAATTACTCACTGAGACTGCTTTTCTCTTCGAACTATTGCTGTGGAGCCTCTGATATAGCAAAACTTTGTCTCACCTGGGAAAAAGTCGACCACCCTGCAAAGGACGTAGTTTTCGTACGGCTGCACGAAATCGGAAGGGAACAACGATGGTTCTTTCCAAGAATGGGAAATTGTCGACCTTTGCGCCGTGAATGGCATATCGAGTTCAAGGATGGCGCCAACGAAAATCCGGAGATAGGTCTTAAGTCACTGAGCCTCCACGATGATCGTGAAAGGCTTACGCACGCCGGAAAACACGAGTCCGATGATATAGCTGTGCTTGCTAGGCTTTAGCGAAACCTTTGCAATTCGAAGGCCCGACTTGATAGCGCGGAACAAGCTGCAGCTTTCCTCTCGTCGCATGGTCTCTTGAATCTCACTCTTCAGCTGCATGCTTTAAGTCCGGACATTCTCGAACTGTCGACAGACGTCCCTAGACTAGCAGAGACTATGTACAAAACTTTGCAAGAAACGGCATCGCTCCTGAATTCGGCTTCCACGATCCTATACGGAGAAATTGGGATGATTGGCAACGATGTACAACCCAAGAAATCACTGCTAGCGCGACATGGCATTAGAGTTTTTATGGGCCAGATCATCATCATTGCCGAGCCCTTGGCTGGAAGTGGCTGCCGATGTTGGTTACTTCTCTCTGTGCTGCTGACTCAAGCAAAGTTACTTCGATGTAAGGCAATGAGCAGTCAAACGGAGGTTCATCCAGATCGTGTACTCGAGCTACCGATTGACTCTGAGGAAGGTATGCAGAAATTCATTTCCGGGCTGAACATGCTTCAACTCCAGCGACTCCAACTGGATTGCGACGACCGGGGATTTGTCGAAGAATCGTCATGTCATTTGATGTTGATAAAAGAGGGAACTGGTGCGTGAGGAGCATGACTAATTAGATGTTGAAGGTGAAGGCTTTCAAAATGATCGACAAGACGAGGGTTAGGATGGCGCAGTTCAATGATTTCATGCCACGGAAAAAGTCATACGCTGGCTTTAACACGGGCTTTGACAGTGCCAAAACGCGCTGGAAGACTCCGTGACAGTGCAGAATTAACAAAGTCTTGGCTTTGTACGGTCACAATGCACGCGATGACTTGACTTGACTTGAATTCCTACCGCCAAGGATAAGCGAGTGGGCCGGACAAGCGAGTAGGCCGTCCTCACCACCACAACGCGATATTTTCGCATATATCTTTATAACATTATATTATATTGGCTATTAAATAGTATATACAGAATCTTAATAAGCTATCTAACGCTGAGAACATTGATTGATTCGATGCCCTAGCTCATGACAACCACTACAGCGGTAAATACGTGGTGTACTACCACTACCTTGCGGCTGTACTTGCTGAATTTCAAGCTGAATCTGGCTATTAATCTGATCTTGCATAACCATATTACTGCCAGCACTATAGGATAATACACCTTGCCTCTGAATCTTTTTCTTTTGACGCCGCTTACGACTAGAAAGGGCTTGATTAGCTGCCTCAAGCTCAGCAACCTGAGCCTTTACTAAAGTCGCGTAGTTAGCTACTGATTGAGCACCTTTAGCAAGGCGATTAAGTGACTCAATAATAGAGGTTGGTGAGCTATTTTGATAATGCTGAATCCGGCTTCGGATAAGCTCTGTTTGAAGGCCTAATTCAATAGCATTTCTTGGGGTCTTTAATTGCCATTCAATCTGCTCGATTAGTGGTGGTGTAGGTGTTCTAAGATGAATATCCAGCTTTGATAATACAGCATCTGGATTCAATGGTAGTAAGCCAGTACCCTTGAATCCAGCTCGTATATTATCTGGTCGTAGTGCCTGGATAAAAGCTTGCTTGAAGGCAGGAAGGAATTCGAGCTTTGTCACGTGATGGATGAAAGCTCGCACCATCTGCTGAATCTGATTGCTGTATGCCTGTTTTAATAGACCAAAGCAGCCTACATCAAGTGGCTGAAGTAGATGTGATGAGTGTGGAGGCATACAAAGGGTGATAATCCTTTGCTCTTTACAAAAGAGCTTGAATTCAAGTGATTCATGACTCTCATGCCCATCAAGGATAAGTAGTCTATACGTGCCTTGTGTGCGATCCTTTGTATGCTGATTAAAATGCTTTAGCCATTCTAATTCAAGCATATTAGTAGTCCATCCATTCTCACTAACAGCAATCATCCAATCAGGTGGAAGATCCTCCTCATACCATGCTGAAAGATGGTTGGTATCAGCAAAGATGATGAATGCTGGTAATGCCCAACCTTGAGCATTTACACCTTGAATGACAGTGACCCATTCACGATCTCCAGGCTGTATAGTCTTTGGGCTATGGCGTCGTTCAGATCCAGTAACCAGTTTAGCTGTTGCAATCACTCCCATTTGAAATCCAGTTTCATCAAAATTGTAGATATCGCTGTTGCTAATGCCATACTTACTAATTATATTACGCACAAGCTCAAACCAAGGGCTGATAATCCACGGATCCTCACATAAAGCTCTCTTATAATCGTACTTTCAACGGAAGCGCATCTTGAGTTCTGGGGTCCTTTGAACAAAGTTATGTGGCCATTTAATACCAACTTGCCCATCACCACGCGAAGCAAGTAAATGATTAGCCATTGCTGCTACCTCTTGAAGCTTAGGCTGAAATCCACGTGAATCTAGATCAAGTATATGCTATATAAGCACCTCCTCTTCATTCTTGGTAAGCTTCATTGAATTCGGTCGGCAATCACATCGTGAACGCGTTCCAGCTACGCGTCGTTGTAGGGCTGCTTTAGGCACATTAAAGACTTTCGCTGCATGATATATTGATTTAATTTGGCCTCTTTCGATAGCTGATATTGCTAATAATATTTGACCTTCATTAGATAATGGGTGCTTTTGAATTGAGCGCTGCATTGTAGATAAGATGAGATATACGCGTTGTGGTGGTGAGGACGGCCCACTCGCTTGTCCGGTTGGCGGTACTCGGTTTTGGCCGCTCTTAGCCAGCAGCTATGCTCGGTCAGGCGGACTTCGCCAGACAGCCGACACGTGACAGGCTATTTACATATTCCTCCGCGTCCCACTTCGCCCTGTTCGTAAACAAGACCAGCTGTCCCTTCTATCCACCCCTTTACTTTCAAGCAAACTATCTACATGTGTGATTATCTGTATTTGTGTTCCGTCTTTTATCACAGTACTGTTTATGTGCGCAGTATGTAGTAGTGCTATGTTTGTTCCTCATGTTGTGGCTCTGATGTGCCATGGCACGATGTTTAGTAGCAATGTACCTACAGTCTCCCTCTGGTACTTGGCGTTGTCTATTTGTGTTGCCCCCATCCCTCGAGGCCTGCGTGTTCCATAAATTTGTCCCTGCCTATCTTCGCTGCCGCATCCCAGATTCCTATATAGCCGTGTATATTGTTCTGTTCTGTATGACGCTGTTATTGATAACAGTGATATCGTTCATTGCGATTTTGGTTTTCAGGTGTAATACTCCGCTCGTGCGGACTATCGAATTACTGAGCATGAGAGCTCTTAGCGTGTTTCTCCACAGACGTTGTCGCTTTGTGTTAAAGGGGGACCAATCCTTCTTTACTGGGTGGGGGGTGACAGTGGACGAGGCTGTCTGCAATCTGTAATATATGGGCACCGAGTATGCCGGACGTCTGGTGCTCGAAATGCGCGAGAGATAATGCCATTCTGTTTAATGGCTCGTCGATGCAGGACGTTGCAAACATTGTCAGGGGTTGGTGAGCTGGCCAGGAAACCCACCAGTGGCTGTATATTGTGTTGTAACTGTGGTGCGAAGTATTTGGGCTTCGTCATTACAACCTGTAACCCAAAATCTCAATCCGATATTGTTGTTATCAATAATAAACCTATCATATTAGTGGTATGCTCCTGTGTTTGGTGTCCGAATGTACCACTGGCCGTAATAGTCACTCTGGCCGGTGCCAGGCCAACGCCGAGGGACGCGCGACCGCCATCCAGAGGCCATGTCGGCCAGTGGTACGTGTATGTACGATGGTACTACTCAATTTCAATGATTTGAGTTCTCGCTGTTGTGATGTATCTATCATCTTCCTTTTCTTTTTGCGTGATAGACTGGTCCTAAAAGTGGGAGATCTTGTAAGTTTAGCTAAGTCACGTGTTTTAGCCAAATCGACCCCGTGAGGCGGAGTTCAAACAAGGCATGTTGCCCCTCTGGGAACGCGTACGATCACTGCTAGGTAGAACCCTTGGATAAAGGAAGCTACTGGCAGCGGAACGCTCTGGCATCACTCTCTGGAGCTGCTATCCATAATATTGCGAGTTTTCATTGGATTTCCCTGGGCTTTCCAGCGACTGTTCGCGCGAGGTCAGCGGCGGCCGCCACCATAACAAATAACGCGCTCCGAGGCCCGCGTGCGACGCTAGAACACATTCAGCTTCGTAGACTTTATTTCAAGCCCCCTTTCCTCGCCTCGCTAGACTTTCACGTAGCTACAACGAAACACCGGTGTACCCCAGCCTCCCAAGGCGCAGTATCGGCCATTTCTTACCGCAATTTCACTATTTCTTTGCAGCCGTCAGCATACAGCAAACCGACGCCAGGTCAATGTAGAGCGTCTGCAACAATCTGCTGGCCTCGGACTCCTTTCGCGCCATCGTCGAACCGACCACCGTCCTTTACACAGCGCGATACGGCCGCCCAAACTAGCTGGGTAGCTTTAAAGCGACACCGTTAAGATGGCATCTGTCAATGACCCGAAGCGAGTCGTTCTTCGTTTTCATGTTCAATACGAGCTTGAGGAGGCCGCCATAAATGAACGATTCTTTGCGCTATACGGCTCTGACCATCCCAATAACGATTTCTTCTCTCACTTAATGGCTCCCAACGAATCTTCTCAGATGCACATTGTTTTGGACTTCAATTGTAAATTACATCCAACCATCGATAACAACGAGATAGCATACGAAGTCTTCAAAGTTAAAAGGAAAGACGATTTGTAGGTAGCCCTATCTCTCGCAGAAGTTCAAACTAATTAATGAGTTAGTGAATTCGAAAAGCTAAACGATACTGCATGCCAACAAGCTCGCATGCGCTGCGAGAGGATCAAATGGGGCACCAACTGACCTCAATCTGAAGAATTAGATGGCGTCCGTGCATTGCAAACAGGGCACTCTCCTTGTACATTTGTATCTTGAGCATCAAGGGACAAAGGTAAGTCCCTTAGCTGCCCACTTGCAGGCATACAGAGTTGTTGGTTCGGGCGGGCTCGCGCAGCCGCGCATCGCAGATAGTCACCCCTGACTTGATGTTGAGGGTTGCGACGACAACTGGCATATGTTGTAACCTGGATATCGCACATGTTGATATATTTATCTGTGTAGATTTGATTAGATTAGAATCGAGAAATATTTATTGAGCGACACTTGAGGGTCGAAAGCTGAATGAAAAGGCTGCTTTGGCTGCAGGCGCTGATGTCTTATCCGGGCGGTGACTCCGCACTGTAATCAGCCAAGTGCTAGGCTCAACTGAGCCACAAGCTGTGAGTACAGCATTTTAGTCAAGGGTGCTATCTTAGTAATTTTGTCCCTCTGCTATTGGATCAAATATAGTGGGGTCGTTTCGGGCTGACAAGCCTTGGTTGGGAAGTACCAATCGGAGTGGCAACATTGCATAAATCGCTCTGCGCCAGCAGCGACAAGGCCGGGAGGAGCTTTCTACCCCTTTACCTATTAATAATTGTCTATAGTTGCTGGTTGGCTCAGTCGACAATCATTATACTATTAATATTACTACAGTATTTAGGCTCCTGGAGGCGGTGCCTCCTATATTATGGTCTGCATACCTACAGTCTCCCCTTAATGCACGATGTTATCTACGTGTTATTGGTCTCATTGCCCACTAAGACCTGCGTTTGTTCTATAAATCTGATGGCCTTGATGGCTAGCTTGCGCGTACTCAGAATGGCTCTGAGGTTATTCCGTCCTAGGAGGCGGCCTAGTTCCTGTCTCCGGAGGTCCTTGTAATGGCGGCAGCTCAGTAGGACATGAGCTACTGTTTATCGCCATTCACTGTAGTGACACCTCGCGTTGTGGAATCCTGGAGCGCGGCGATTAAAGAGGAAGTCCTTAAGGCTGATCTTCTCAGTTCTTATCTGTACTAGCAGAGCGCTCTCGGCCTTGCTCAGGTCAGTGTGGAGTTGGAGGACCTTCTTAGTCGGGATTGGCGTGTGCCTGCGGATGGCCTTGCCCTTGCTTTCCACTGCCCAGCTCGCCTGCCAGCGTCGGTTAGCAGTCTTGTAACTCCATGTTTTGAGAGTTGTCTTTAGTGGATGTAGCCGTGCTGGTGGTTCCGCCCTTTATCCTCTGCTGTCTCCCATCCTCCATCCTATGGCCTCCTTGGCAGCCAGGTCCGCACGCTCATTGCCGTTAATCCCCTTATAGGCGCATATCTATCGGATATCAATAGTAACTCCTACAGCCCCTAACTCATTAATCTTTTGCACTATCTATTAAATGATATATGCTCCTGAGCGACCCTCTGCTCTGATGACAGAGCGGATGGCTGCTTGGTTGTCTGCAAAGATGTGCAGGTATTTATGATTGTTTCCTTGCTCCATATCTTCCTGTACCATAGCCAGTGCTATCTAGATGCCTTGCAGCTCCGCTGCGTATACTATCGATACAGTGTCTGGACCTATATATGTGCTTCTTGTTTGTCGTCTCCCGGGCTACACCACAGCTGCTCCTGTTTGACCTTTAATACAGCTTCCATCTATATATATGCAGGTGTTGTCTCTGTTAGCAGTAACTTTATTATGTTGAGAGAGCGCTTCATCATCGTTCGAGGCTGATCTTTTCATATTTAGAGAGATGGACTATATTGTCTGTTCTTAGTCGATTGATGATCGAAGAAAGTGGCGATTTGTATGTTGGTTCCTGTTGCCGACCAATTTGGCTGCACGCATTGGCCAGCCCTGACAGCTCCGGGAGCCCGTCACTTGTGAGCATCTGGCCTACGGCTTCAGCGTTATGTTTCCATATCTGATATTCAATCAGGAGAAGGTGTGTCTCAACATCAAGCGCTGGCCAGGATGTTGCCTTAAAGGCTCCGCAGATCGATCAAGCCGCTCGCGCCTGGATAGCCTTCAGCATATCGAGAGTTTGGTCCGTGTATGTGCCCTTGCTCCCTCCCAGGTTCAACTATAGTGAGCACGCGTACATCATCTGTGGCACAGCAACGCCGCGGTAGATCTTCCTCATGTCAGTCAGGCTGACGCCCCATGTTGAACTGCCCAGGCAACTTAGTGCGTTAACCATATTTATGGTCTTTCTGTGTATTTCCTGGACATGCTCTTTCCACTTCAGCTTGCTGTTGAGTATAACTCCTAGGTATTTACACATTGTCTTAGGCTTGATCTTTCCTAAAGTAGTGTTTAGCGGCTGCTTCATATCGATGCGCGTGCGCGCGCGTGTGAAGTAGGTGAGTTAGAACTTTTCAGGAGCAAATTTGGATGCGTGTTTTCCCGCCTATTGACTGGCTTTTTCAAGCGCACGCTTGAGCTTGGCACATGTCTCTTCAGTCGAGTTTCCGCACGCGAAGGTCACACTATTATCTATATACCCTGTCGCTTCTATATCATCAGAATTACAGCATTCTATTAGGTCAGTGTTATAGAGGATGTAGAGGACCGGCGACAGATTGGAGCCCTGCAGCACACTAGTCTCAATAGTATACTTATCAGACTCATAACTATTGATGGTTATTCTTGTGCGTCTGTCGCTGAGGAAGCTTGCTATCTATCTGATAGTTCTCTTATCAACCCTCCGTTTCTGCAGGTTATGCAGCAGTCTTTTGTGCGAGACATTATTAAAGGCACCTGAGATGTCGAGCAGTAAGAGGCTAAGCACCTGGCCTTGGCCTGTGTTCCACGCCTTATATACCCTCTCCACGACGGTATGTAGCGCATGCTTGGTAGACCTCAGCTTCCTCCCACCAATATGCAGTCTAGGAAGTATGTGGTGGGTCTCTATTAGATAACTCAGTCTGCGTGCGATGACCGCATCCATGACCTTGCCAATTATATTCAGTAGGGCAATGGGACAGTATGCTTTAGGTGTAGTGTAGTCGTCTTTCCCAGGCTTGCGCAAGGCAACCGTTGTGGACGTCCGGAAGTGTGCAGGACAGTATCCTAGCTTCATGCTCTGGTTCATGATTGTAGTTAGATATCCCACCAGCATAGATAAGGCTACTTATAGGGCTTTGTTCGGGATGCCATCCGGCCCTGGAGCTTTAAGTGGTGCTGCAGCTTGAATAGCATTGAGAACTTCCTTCTCAGTAATGTTAGGCATTGGGATCTGGTCTTGGTACTATGCACTCTCTATATCTCTCAGGTCTGCCTCAGGTGGTTCTTGGAAGAAGATCTCTCATAGAAGGTTGGCCCTCTCCTCTGGTTTTATGGCTTCTTTTCTGGTGCGTGTGCACTTGATCGTGGGTGTCACGCTTGGGGGTTGGTTCTCTCTATTGCGAGCCCACTTGGCGATCCTCCAGAGGGACTCTGCCGACCCTGTGGTTTTTTCTATTTGATCCCTGTGCGCCTGGTGTAGGGCCTTCCTTATCACGCGTGTTTTCAGGTTCCGTGCTTCGCGGTAGAGCTCCTACATCGCCATCCTTGGTTGTCTTGTGTATATACGGCGTAAGCGTTTTGTCTCCGCTAGTACCTCAGTACATATGTCATCCTATCCCTCCCTGGCTTTAGGACTTTGTTTTCTCAGCGGGAGTACTTCGTCAGCGGCCTGAGTGATAGCAGCTACGAGTTCTCGAGTATAGCTATCTAATACCACAGGTGTCCTTAGTCTTCTTCTTGGTGGTAAGGAGTGTTGCAGCGCGTCGCAGAAACTTTTGGTGTTTAGGCGTTTCCATGGATGTTTGGGTTTGACATTGTTCTGGTTGGTTCTGATATCTAGAAGAATGCTGATGGGTAGGTGGTTAGAGTCGTGATCTATATCTTTGTTCACTGTACTTTTGATGGTCCTATCCACCACGCCTAGCGTCATCTAACAGAGGTCTATGGTTGATCTGCCATCCCCTTCTTCATAGGTGATAGTGCCTGGTTCTAGCATGCTGGTCATATCTAGACTCTCCATCATCTTGAGGAGATCCTTTGCCTCCTGTTCTTCGTGTCGGACTCTTAAGCCCCCCCAGAACTAGTGATGGAGGTTGAAGTCGCCTAAGGTGATTTATTCTTTAGGTGCATGTTCCTCCAGTTGTATCTTGAGTAGCGGAAGGATGCTGTTTTGTCTTATTGTGTTCTATGGTGCATTATATATATTATGTATGATAAGCTTATCATCTGATGCACCTGGTCTGTTTGTGCTGATTTTCAGCGTGCACAGGTCTCTCGTGTGCTGTTTAAATTGCCATGCGCTGTGGTCGAGTCTCTTATTGATAAAGAAGCACACCCACACTAGGCCTTCCCCATTGTCTACAGTTGGGTAGCAGAGGTGGAATATATCCTTCACTGGGTGGTGTATTGTCAACATAAATGGGTTCCTCCACGGCTCCTGGATCGCAAGCACGTCGTACTCTGCAACCCTGGGGTCCTATAGCAGTGTCGCCATGACTGTGTCCTTTGATTTATGTATGTTGTACTGCAGTATGTTTAATTGTTGTTGTCATTTGATTATGCATCTATATCAGGGTCGATATTATCTGTATGTTGTTGCATCTACTCATGTTCACTTCCAGCGCCTCAAGCGCCCGCCTCGACAGCATTACCACCCTCTATAGTTGTTGGCTGGCACTTGGGGCTTCATTTTCCTTGTCTCCTGTGGGTGCTGACCTCTTCTGTCCTCATCCTCGCGTGGAGCTAGGCCGGCTCGTCCCTGATTCCGACGTCAGGGATAGTTCCCTCTCAGACCTTGATCTCCTGAGAATCATCCGATCTGGCCCCCGCTGATCTGTTTCGCTTGAGGTCGGGTGATACTTGGGCCGTGTTGCGAGCACTACTTTGATCTTGCCCAATTCCTCTTTCCTAGTTGGGCATGCCTGGCTCCATGCTTTGTGTGCTCCGAGGCACACTGCGTACTTCCTGATGGTATCCTGGCCGGTCTTAGATAGGCACTCCCAGGAGCTGTGTAACTGCGCGCAGTAGCTATATATCTTTACTGCCTTGCATTGGGTTCCTATGTAGCCATGTTTTTGGCATTGGAAGCACTGCTTCAGTCAGCACCGTCTCTCATATCATTCGCTATTACATCTCTCTCCTTCCTATACTAGTCCCATATTGATGATTTTGTTGGCGACTTCTGCTCATGTGAACTCGATGATGATAGACGACATTGAATTGTTTCGTGGTCTCCTAGTCAGCCAGCCAATGTATTTGATGTCTGCTGTAGGGAGGAATGCTTTGTTCGCTTGCAGGATTTCGGCTTTGACCTCCTTGAACCCCTCAGTGTTCATCATGCTAGTGCGTATACTATGTATAATGACCTTATATATATAGGTGTGTACTAATGTACCGCTTCCGAGTTGAGGAACCCAGTCATCTGTGAATTTATGGAGCGTCTGCATCTCACTGTTCGTTGCTGTTCTGATGCTGAGATCCCCGCTCTTGAGCTGGTTAGCTGATATAGTGGTGATCTTAGCTATATGTTCGTTTTCGCTCTGGGCGATGGCTGTGTCAACATGGGCTTTCATAATACGCGGATTCATGGCGCGTAGGTGTTGGATTGTCTGGGCATTTCTTATATTCACGATGATCTCACGCTGCATTAAAGATGGAGCATTATGAGCATTCTGTGTGCTATATGTATTTGCGATCAGGGCACCATGTGCTGCCGCAGCGGCATAGCTTATTGGTCCTCCTATCTGATGCTGTGTTCCTTTGCTCTTTATGTCTCTCGCCATAGCGGCGACTGTCTTGCCTACTTCCGCGGCCTCAGTCACCGCCACGGTGGCTGTCTCGCCCGCCATGATGCCTTTTTATACCTTCACCGCTAGATTCTTGAGTTCCTCTTTGAAGTTATATATCTCTTTCACCATGCCATTCGCGTTCGCCGTCATTTCTGTATATATAGTGCTTATCTTCTAATGTACTGCCATTATGTTAGGGGTCCTTATGACCTTTCCGACCAGGGATATTGCCGCTATAACCACTGTTCTTATCTCTTCCAGGGTTACTGGTTGGTTTTCCTCGCGATCTAGATAGAGCAGTACATTCTAAAGGTGCCCTGTAAGTTAAGTAGCGTGCTCCTGTATTGGTACTGGCCATACCACCTCTCAGGGCCATGGGATCGTCATTTCGCGTTCCACACGCGTTGGGCGACGCACTGCGACTGCAGACGACCTCAGTTCCTTCAGGATGACGTGTTCGCACGATAGGAATATTCAATTTCAACGATTTGAGTTCTCGCTGTTATGGTGTTTTCTGCCCATATGGTACCGTACCGAATACCGATCGGTATATACCGTCACGGTATGTCACGGGACCTCGTGTCACGGACCATCTTATGTAATCACATGGCGCCTTGTCAATGTCCGTGCGGAAAAGCACAACAACAGCGAGAACTCTCACCTTTGGAATAAAGAGCTCAATTGTGTTCACATACATCTCCTGAAGACCGGAAACTGCTTTCTCGGAAGCCGCACCGCCCAACGCGGCCGTAAGACATGGCGACGCCCTGGTCCCAGGAGGTAACCAGGCCCACTAACCTCCGAGAGCGTGTCCTAGAAATCACGAAGCAGCTCAGCGATACATTGCAAGTCGTAGAAAGAGAGAAAGAGATTGATAGAAAGCAACTAAGCAAAGCCCTCAAGAGCGCGTTACTCGCGCTCGCCAAAATCAAGGACACCCCTGACATAGCCTCCCTAGAAGAGAAGGTAGATCAACTGCGCACAGAGACAGTGAAAGGATAGAAAAGCATAGATGAAGCCTTCCGACACCTCCAAGAAGACATAGAGGCAACAAAGGCAAATATACAAGCAGCAGCAACAGCGGGTAAAGAAGCGAAGACAGCGGCGATTGAGGCAGTCGATATAGGTAGGACGGTACTCAGAAACAAAGGGACACACCAGCAGCAGGCTATAGCAAGCTATGCCGCCGTGGCAGCGCAAGGAGCGACGGCAACAAGTACACATAGTCCACAAAACACCAGACCTCCTGCACAAACGCATCGTGAGATCATCATGAATATTAGAAATGCACAAACGATCCACCACCTGCGTTCCATAAACCCACGCAACCTGAAAGCCCATGTCAAATAAGCCATAGCCCAAGGCGGAGTAACCAACGCAAAGGTCATGTCTGTAAACCAACTCATGAGTGGAGACATTAGCATAAAAACGGTTACACCGGGCGAAGCACAGACGCTCAGACAGTCCGCCCAGGAATGGGTCCCTAGGATAGGGAACGGAATGTCAATACGCAGCCAGATGTATAGTGTGCTCGTACACAGCGTATATACCAAAGATGTGGATATGGACAGACTGGACGAAATCAACGCCGCTATCTTGAGTGAAAATAAACCCTTTATCCCAACGGCAGAAATCAAATACATCAGATGGCTCAGTCGGAAGGCACAGACCAAGAGGATGTCCACGCTGGTAATCGAGTTTACTAAGCCAGAGGATGCAAATAAGATCATTGATGAAGGGTTAATATAGCAGGGGTGCCACCATGACACCGAGAGATATGAACGATAATGCTGCCTGAAGCAATGCTTCAACTGCCAGAAATACAGCCATATAGGAACCTAATGCAAAGCCATAACAGCGTGTGGCCACTGCACGCAAGAACATAACTCCCGGGACTGCCCTTTGAAAGCTGACACACCTAAGAAGTGCGCGGGCTGCAATGGCCCGCACGAGTCCTGGAACCGCCACTGCAAGATCAGGAAGGAACAGCTTGCCAGGACTAAGGCGGCGTACGACAACCGACCCAAGTACCACCCGGTACTTGAGAACCCGAAGCCAGTAGCCCAGGTTGGAAACCCCACAACCGGAATGAAGAGACAAAGGTCAATGAGGGACCTGACCGCCTCCCAAGCAGGCCGGGCCTCGAAGCAGACTAATACAGGGCTAGCCAGAAACAAGGTGAACAGGGAGAATGAATCGCCGGCAAGCAGACAGAGGCCGCAACGCGTGGTACAGCTATCATGTAAGATGCTGGAGGCGCGAGACACCAATGAAATCACCACTATAGAAATAGAGGACGACATAGATATGACCCCCCCATAATGGTGGAGTATGTTCAATTAAGCATACTACAGTATAATGTTCGAAAATCAAAGGACACAGTAATGGCCACGCTAATATGAGACGCCAGGACAGTAGAGTATGACATCATGGCTATCCAGGAACCATGGAAGAACCCATACATGGACACCACACACCATCCAGCCAAGGAGACCTTCCACCTCTGCTACCCACCCGAACGGGAGGGCAAGATGGCAAGGGTCTGCTTCTTTGTGAACAAGAGGCTGGACCAGAGCAAATGGCAATTTAAAGCACACAGTAGGGACGTATGTACCCTATACATCAGACGGAGCGAAGAAAGTGGGGATGGAAACCAGATCATCATATATAATGTGTATAACCCACTGCAATACTCGGAAGGACGCGAGAGCGCGCTTCCAAAGGTACAGGAAGTCTGCCAGGAGAACAGTGCGGAAGAGCAGATAGCGCTAGGCGACTTCAACCTCCATCACCCAGTATGGGGTGGAGAAAGGGTAGACAAACACGAGGAGGAAGCAGAGGAGCTTCTGGACGTTATGCAGAGCATAGGTATGATGAGCACACTCCGCCAAGGAGTGATCACATACGAAGAGGGAGAAAAGAGGACGACGATCGACCTCTGCTGGATGTCTGCAGGATTAGCAGATCGGATAATCCGGTGCGAAGTAGACAGAGACATAGAGTACGACTCTGATCACCTACTGATCAGCATAGTCATGGACCTGAGAGTCCAACACGGAGAGAGGAAACCCGTGAGGCGATGGAAGCATCTCGAGGAAGAGAGGTTTCGGAAGGCGCTCGCATAGATACTACCTCAGGTACAGCAGCCGAGAACCAAGAGGGCACTGGATCGATACACCAAGGAGATTGCAAGCGCGATCGACAGGGCGGCAAACAAAGTCCTCCCTAAAACATACGCCTCACCACGGGCAAAAGAGGGATGGAACACGGAATGCAAACGAGTACTGACTGAAGTAAAATGACTTAAGTGGTTCCATAGCATGGACCGCACAGCGGAGTCGTGGGAAACGTAAAAAGCTGCACGGAACTTGAAGACCAAGACAGTTAAGAAGGCTCTAAAGGCAGCACACAGAGACAGGGTAGAGATGGCAGCGGCTACTCCCGAGTCTCTTTGGAAGGTAGCAAAGTGAGCCAGGACAAGGGAGAACCAACCTCCAAGCGTCACACCAGCGATTCGATGTCCTAATATAGGACAGGAGGTAACAGACACTGAGGAGAAGGCACAGATTTTCTGAGAAGTCTTCTTCCCAGCGCCTCCGAGGGCCGATCTCGATGATATCCAGAATACATAGTATAACCAGCAGATAAACCTACCAGAGATCACAGAGAAGGAGGTTCTGGAGGCTGTAACGGCCACCGCCCCGCTAAAGGCGGCGGGCCCAGACAGGATAGCAAACAAGGCGCTGAAGGCAGGAGCTGAGCTACTAGTAAAACACCTCGCCAATATCTTTAACCAGAGCCTTAGACTAGGCTACTGCCCAGAACACTTCAGGACATCCACCACAGTAGTGCTCAGAAAGCCAGGCAAAGATAACTACGCAGTGCCGAAGGCATATAGGCCTATAGCGTTACTCAATATAATAGGAAAGGTAATAGACGCCGTAATCGCCCGGAGACTGAGCTACTTAGTAGAGGCCTACCAAATGATACCACCCCGACATATGGGCGGGAGACGGCTGCGGTCAATGGACCACGCCCTCCACTCCATTATGGAGAAGATATATGAAGCATGGAACAAAGGAGAAGTTGCCAGCCTATTGCTCCTGGATGTGTCTGGAGCATTCAATAACATCTCTCATAAAAGGCTCCTACATATACTTAGGAAAAGATGAGTTGACGAACGGCCACCATGGCAGGCAGGACTAACTATATATATAGACACCAGCGATAAAGCAGCACGCGCCAGGCATAACAAGATGCTTGGAAAGGGGGCCCTTTATATCTATACAGACGGTAACAGCATCGAAGGCCACGTCGGAGCTGCAGCGGTCTGTCCTATAGTAAGGACCACACGGAAAGCGTATATGGGCACTGACAAGACCTCCACTATGTACGTAGCAGAGTTACAAGGAATCAAGATGGCACTGGAAATCGTGCTGGAACATACAAAAGAGAGCACTCGAAAGCAAAGAGTTGCTATCTTCACGGATAACCAGGCCGCGATCCGCACGCTGACCAGGCCCGAAGGCAGGTCAGGCGCGTATATAGCTAAGCAAATCGCCCAGTATATCAAACAGCTACAGAATAATGGTTACAAAGTAGAGGTACAATGGATCCCAGCCAATAAAGGTATCTATGGGAACGAGGACGCGGATCGAGCTGCCAAGGAGGCCACTAGATAGAGGGAAGGGGAGGGTGCCAGGGGCGACAAAGCAGACCCGCCTGCAGAGCTATATGCTCTTAAGGCAATACTAAAGATGTGGACAGCAAAGAAAGCAGCCACAATGTGGCAGAGGGAGTGGGCACAGGATAGTAAGGGTAGGGCGACATACCGCCACAACCCGACGCACTCTAAAGCTACATAAGGACCTAAGCAAAAGACAGAGGGCTCTCCTGGTATAGATGAGGACCGAGAAGATCGGTCTCCGTCACTTCCTGGCCAGCCGGAGAGTACCAGGATGTTACGAAGTAACATGAGTCACGTGAGGAAACTGATCATGTTGATCATGGAATGATCAGAATGATCAACTTGCATTAGTGGGAAGATATCATTGGTTGATGAAGCATGAACAAATCAGATCTATTGAGTGATCATACTGATCATGGAATGATCAGAATGATCACCCTCCACTCACTTCTATAAAAAAGGGAGGATTTCTCCTCCTTACCCAAGAACTGTAGTTTAACTGTCTAGTATATCTAGTAGTTAGTTCGAACATTCTCTCATACTTGAAGCTCATACTACTCTAAGTCATAAAACTTGGACTAACTTATTCCTCTTCCTTTCTGAATAAGTCCCAGTCCCATATTGTTCCCTTTGCTCTAGGAAGCCAACCCCTTCCGAAGTGGCTTACATTAGTGAAGCTAGTCGGTATTGGGAAAGTGTTCCTAACACAGGATACCAGGACGCGACCTGCTGGGGGTGCCACCAAGGCCCGCAAATTGTTATGCACGTCCTGCTGCAGTGCAAGTCGCTTAAGGATAAGAGGAAACGGTATTTCGAAGGGCAACCGGGAAGGAATAACCTTAGGGCCATCCTGAGCAGGCGCAGTTTAGCTATTGAAGCTATCGGACTTATGGAACATGCCCTTAGGGCAGAAGGTGAACAGAGAGGTGTAACAGACAATGCGGAGCATTGAGGGGATTGAGGTACGCAGGATGCAATACAGAGGCCTCAAGCCTCCAGGAGCCGAATACTAGAGCAAGTATTAGTAGATTAGCCAGCATGATACAGGCGGCGACAACCGATGAGGAGCGTAAGGGTCGGCTGGTCTTGTTTCCACAATAAGGCGAAGTGGGGCGTGTTGGGCCTAGCCCAATGCGTGTCGGCCGATTACCAAGCGTCACGTGGTCCAAAATCCACCAACTTCTCAACAAGTGCTGGTAGACTGAGGCCACATTATCCTCCGCCGGGCATAGCTACGCGACAAAAGAAGTGGCTGAAACCGTGTAATTTAATCAATCAATCAATCAACGCGTGGACGACTTGATCTCCTCGCGCTACGTCTTGTATCTAGTCTCGATCCTTACTACGTTAATACATTCGTTATTCGAGCCGCTCGAGCATCCCTGCTGAGTCAGATCGCAGGTGATCCCTCACATACCGAACGGTATGGTACGCTATATACTGCTACCGTGGGGCACCCTACCCAGGGGGGAGTCCTGGTCAAACAGACTGCCAGAGTATGCTACCCAACAAGCAAAGCACCTTTAAGCGGCACAGCGATTCATAGCGCGATTCATACATAGCACGTCCAGCCGCACTGTTGAGCTAGACTCAGTAAAATTGATAATCTTCACAGCCCTCAACTTCGTGACGAAGGTACAGCAGGCCCCAGATCTTATCCATGTCCATAATGCAGTCTGTGCTATCCAAGCGCAGCTCTAAATAGGGATAGAAGACATAGCGAGAGAGCTAGCAGTGATAAAAGAGGGAATACGCAACCTTACTACAAAAGCCTAAAAGACAGCAATCATCAGTGAAGAGGCAAAAGCAGCGGCCCTTGAGGCAACGGTGATTAGCAGGACCACGGTGGACATCGCGAAGGACATTAAGAACAAAGGAATATGACCCTAGGAGGGGACACCTATGAACTACGCTGCGGCGGCGGCGGCCAGAGGCGCTTATTGCGTACAGACGCATGAGCAAAGGATGCCTCCCACCACGCCGACCCAGCGGGAGATCATAGTAAACATCAGGGACAGCCACATGATCGAATGCTTACGAGCAATGAACCCGCAGACTCTTAAAACACATGTTAACTAAGCGATTATCTAAAGCAAGAATGAATATATCACTGGTATCACTATAATGTCAGCCAACCAATTAATGAGCGGAGACCTCAGTATCCGAACAACAACAGGCAAGGAGACACATGTTGGAAGGTATCATCCATCATGACTGGTGGAGAAGACCTACTACAGACTAACATGTGTCCACATGCAACGGGCCAACCCATGCAAAGGGCCGAATTAAACTCCGAAACACCTTCTGGACCTACTTTGCCGGATATGTCGAGAGGTTCTTGGTCGATATATACTCTACAGAGCTTCCTCTTTCCAAATCATCGATTTGTGACAAAATCGATGGCATGATGGCGTGCCTGCCGATCGATTCGATGGCGCCATTCGCTTCCGCTCTTGCAGCTTACCCCTGCAATTCTGGTTGTTTGGCAACTAATCAGCGGGGAAAAAAAGTCAGATGCAGAATATCTCCTACTCGATCGTAGCTGCAAATTTTGACCTGGGGAACTCCTCAGATAATTGTGCTTAACAAGGGTGCGGAGTTTAGACGTAGAGCACGACCGAATCGTAGTGTGCGCTATTTATGCAGCCCTCGATAGCTAAGCAGGTATTGTAATGATGGTTGCATGACATAATAGAAGACTAGTCCTTGTTAGTCGATAGAACGGTGGGGCTCAGCGTTACGTTCTGGAAGGTTCCAGTGCGCTGACAGCGTGTGTCGCTGCTGCCTGGAGCTTTCCTATCAGCTAGCACTCTCCCCTTCTTGTCCTCTTTCTCCTTGACCACCGTAGCCAACAGTATCGATGGATCGAGCCAGTCAAGTTCTGGCACAAGGATCTACTGATTCGTTGCGTAAACAAGCCCTTGACAATGACGTTTGTCGCACCACCCTCCAGTATCGTGCTCGCGGCCGACCCCCTAGAGAAGAGACAGACCTGACCAAGCGGTATCTCTATCCTTGGGAAGAGAAGGCCCTCGTTAGGTCCTTAGCACTCCAAGATACACTTGGACGATCTGTGCCAGTCAAATATATATGCTCAATCACCTTTAGTCTCGCTTGTAAGCGCAATCCAGACGACAGACCAAGTAAACCTCCGAATAAAAACTGGCCACAGTTCTTATATAAATGCAATCCAGAACATGCCGCCAGTCGACGGCAACCGCTTGATTGGAAAAGATTCAACATCTATAATAAAGTGGTACACTGGTTCGAGGTCATTGGGGAAGTGCTGCAAAGACCAGATATACACCCATGCAATGTATACAACATAGACGAGACTGGAACCCTGCTCTCATTGCCAAAAAGCGCCAAGGTCATTGTCAGCAAGAACAACAAGAAAGGTAGCAGAGGAGCCCACGTTAATCGCAGCAATGTTACAGCTATCAACTATATAAGTGCTGATGGTAGGTATTTGAATCCAATGATAATCTGGCCTGCAGCGACTCATCAAGCGAATTGGACAACGAATGAAACCCCAGGATGGTATTTTGCAACTTCTGAAAAAGGTTCCACTGATTCGTACATCAGTTTACAGTGGCTCAAGCTCATCTTTAACCCCAAAACTAAGGCAATTGCTGGCCAGAACCCAAGGATACTTGTAAACGATGGCTTTGGGACGCATAAGACACTCGAAGTGCTAAAGTTTTGTTTCGCAAATAACATTATTCTCTGCCGGCTGCCATCCTACACCTCGCATAAGCTCCAGCCCTGCGATGTCTCAGTCTTCAGCCCTCTCAAAACTGCGTATCGAGATGAAGTTGAGCGACTGGACCATGGCGGCGTGGGGACGATCGGCAAGGAGCACTTCACATACATGTATAGCCCAGCGAGGAAGAAGGTGTTTACAGCTCGAAATATACGATCTGGATGGTCCGGAGCTGGTTTGTATCCCTTCAACCCAAGCAAAGTGCTCAATGAAATACCGAAGCCTGACCCTCAACTAACGATTCCGGGCAACGAGGTTGAAATAGAAGCTTGTTCGCACGACCAGGTTCTGCAAACACCTGCAACGCCAGTATCAGCAGAATCACTCGCATCCCTGTTAAATTTGATGAAACAGATCCCTGATAACGAATCAAATAGACAGTTCAGGCAAAAACTTCATCAGAAACACATTAATGCCACCCAGCTGTGCTTTGCGGAGCGTGCCCTGTTACAGACGCAAAATGAGTTCTTAACGGAAATCAACAACGAAGGCAAAGTCACGCCGATCGACCAAATCGAACGTCCTGGGCAAAGGGAAAGCCAGAATCATGCTTTGGGATGATCTTGAAGCAGCAAGGGCAGAACTAGCTGCAAAAGAGAAGGAAAAAGAAGAGAAAAAGGCTAGGAAAGCAGCGAAGAAAGCTGAGAAGGAAGCGAAGGATGCTGAGAGGGCAGTTAAAAAAACTGCTGGCAAGAATGCACAAGCGCGGAAGCGCAAAACGAGCCCAGCAGTGGCAGATGCTCCTGAATCAAACAGCAAGTCACGACGACTCGGCGAGTCATCGGGTTCGTGGGAGTTTCAGACGGCATGGGTCGGCCCGGAGCAATGCATCGCGCCAGTCGCGTGGATGATCTGATATGGTCATAGAATGGACCACATGACATGGCGTACTCCGTAGAGCGGATGAAATTCGTTGCACAAGGGTATCTACTTGGCATATTGTGAATTCATGAAGAACCATTAGAATGAAATTGCGATCAAGTCATTTGCCTGCTTGATTTGCGCTCCTTGCCACCAATTGATCCATATTCTCCACAACTCTGACAGTTTCGCAATGGTGACCTCGTTCCTAATCGAGGAGACGATTGTGGTATCGGAGTCGGGCGCGACGATTGCCGCTGCCGCCGTCGCTGTTGCCGCTATGGCTATACAAGTGGAGGGGCCTGTTGTGGCGGCAACTGTACCGTTGGCGGCCGCAACCATCATGTGGCACCCGGGACATTCAGCAGCGGAACGTGGAAGGCACATTCATGTGAGTCAGATCCGAGCACGAAGAAGAACGTCCTCGCTAGAGAAGTTGACGAATGAGGGTTGTACACGTGGTCCGGGCAGAGGGTCCATCGATCTGGCGATTCGTGAATCACGTGCTTGGATTCATCCATAACTTAAGTTAGTATTAAGTACAACCAGCTTTGTCCCGTAATTACTGTTAATCCCTAAACATTCAGCGCATCTACCCTGATCTCGCACTCGGTCTTGCTTCCGAGCAGCATGTGCACAATTGCTTGTAAAACGTACGCCTCCTGCTCCCGTGTTCCGAAACATATGAACCGTAGAGAAATCAATTATTGCTCCAACGCACCTCAAAACGGAGTCGTACCATGCCGGTCATCAACCGGATTTCAGAGAGATCTCCCACTGGACCTTGATGCCCAAGATACGAACGTGGCTGGGGACTGCCCTATATGCAAAGGGTATACGCCGTCTAATTCTTCCGACTGACAGACTTGTTCGTTCCCCATCCGATCTCCACAGATCGTGGTTGAGCCTGCTTACGAGCAGCCTCTCCAAGGTCTCGAAACGTACTATGATCAATTAGCTAATAAAATTTAAGGGATATTGTTGATGTACAATGAGCTCGGTTTAGAAACTTTGAATACTTGAAGGTCCAAGGTGCTGGGATCGACGTTTGGAAATTCTTTGCAATGAACGTCGAGGACGAGAAACAGGTTGGAAGGGGAACGTTCATCAAAGATAAAGTGTACGAAGAGATCACTTAATGACGTGAGTTCTTCATAAGATCCAAAATCCTGCGAATCGAAAAATTCTTTCATGACAGCTTGATCGTCTGTGACATACTGCTCACGACACTTGAGAACGACACGTTTCGGCTGAGGCATCCCAAGAGGTACTTGCGGCGGAAAAGTCAAAACACAATGAATGAGAGGTGAGTGGAGCAGGATGGAAGAGCCCAATGCAAAGCACTGGCGGAGGATGTATGTGAAGTCAAGACCAGCGGAATCAAGGGGGCGAGCCACAGTCCTGCCAAATTTAGAAGTCAGAGGCTGGTACGGAATGTAATCTTACTAGCACATGATTGGCTGTTGATGCGGGGTTTGCTGACGGCTGACCGAGTTGATTTTTTCCTTCTTTAGGAAGTACTATTCAACGTGGCGTCATTGCATGAAACGATCTGCACCAACCCCCATAAGGCTGAATGTTGCTTTTCAGCCTGATGAAGAGGTACTAAGGTTGATAGTTTATCGTTTGAGGTCATTAAATTTAGGACAGATCCGATGTTGTGGTGGTGAAACAGGTGCTTGATAATTGGCCTTCCAACAAGCTGTTCGTAACGTGCGTGTGGCAACAGTAAGCTGATGGTAACTTTTGTGTCTAGCGATGTGTAAGGGCACTAAGGTAGCTAAAGTCTCTGCTTCAATCAGGAAAACACGCATAAGGACTGAAATAGAATTTTTAGAATGCTTTCAGGACCAAGTACCAAGGTTTATGGCCCGTTGCATGGGTTGGCCCGTTAGTGTACCATAGATAAGATGTCTTTATATTTACATCCTGTAGCAACTTCAATTCTAAAACAATATAATTCACTTTTACAAAACAGTTTCCAACAACACAACTCCTGCGGTAATTCACAGACGACTGGGTAGCACAAGTTGGTAGCGAGTCCTCAGTCAGGAACCCAACTCACAGCGTCTTAGTACATGGCATGTCACGAACGGCGTGACAGCAGCGTGGCGCGGGCGCCACGGGGAGTAAAAGCACACATAGCTATCGCACGACTACTTATATATTCGAGACTGGTGCGAACGGGTTGAAACCCCAACGGTAAGAGGATGAGACGCCTACGCGGCCCCTGCGCACCTGTGTATTTAAGGCAGCTCGAGGACATACGTTCGAGAGCTAGCGGATATTCTTGAATCCTACAATCTATCTCACACTCCTATCACCAATTCCTTACACGGGGTCTTCCCCATGACACGTGATAGGCACCATTCTGTTGCCTTACCAGACCGGATGTTGGCCAACATTAGCCAACATAACTCGATGTTAGCCAATATAACTTAATATTGGCTAATATAGCTCAGCTAATATATATCTGATGTCGGTGGACTGAGCCTGAATTAGGCAAGGTAGACAAGCCTTACCCTTTCCCTCTGTGTATTTAAGCATGAGTCACTCTTAGATACTCTCTCTCTTGTGCAACGTCTTGACCTTGGTTGTAAGGGGTGGATGTAAGCGTGATATCAAGATGGAGAGCAATAGGCTTGGATTCGTGTCAAGACTGACGACTAAGGAAGCGAACTAAAAGGAACGCTGTGCGTAGCTTAAATACTACAGTCCCAAAGAGCATGTGACTCGTGGCCTAAGCGCAGCTGCCCCGTGCGCCAGTTCCCTCTCTGTTCCTCACAACTCTTCCCCCCCTTCCATAGTCTGGTCTCCAGACTCGCTAAGAGGTTGTCAGTCTCACGGCGCGTTTTCGCGGTGGGTGCGTTTTGTCTATGGTCATCGTCGTTTGTTGTTGTTGGGGTGTGTGTCGGCACCGCGTTGTGTGCGTTGTCGTGCCTGTCACCGTCGCGTAGCAACAGTGTTATGGTTTTGATGCTCAGTGACAATATAAATCTTGCGCGTCCCCAAGTTCTTCCTCAACCATACACACACACACACTCACGACACCCGCGCCTTTGACACCATACGTATCATCACCAGCATTCAGCTTTATGGCTCCGTCAACTCCCCGTGCGTCGGGGGCGAGGCGGGAGCCGTCCACGCCTCGCTCTTCAGGTGCGAGACGCGCGCGTTCTCCCCGTCCTCGTTCCCTGGCGCCCCCTTCACCAACACCCGCACCGTCTTCGTCAACATCACGGCGCGGTGAGGCCATCTCCGGACATAGGCGTACTTCCCGCCCGCGCTCTCCTACTCCTCGGTCTCCGACCCCGATACCGTCCTCGCCGGTGCCCGAGCGCGACAAGACAAGTTCCAGGCGCCGGCGCCGTGGCAGCGATGCCTCTGCGTCCGAGCCCCCCAGTCGCCGTCGCCGGGTTGCCTTCGAAGTGACGGTGCCTTCATCTTCTCGAAGTAGGGATAATACCCTATCTCCTCCAGGGGAGACCGTGGAGGCGGAGGCAGGCACCTATGTCTGCCTCCGGTGCAGTAAGGATGTCGACCTCGTTCTGCTGTGCGATATGCCCGCGTTTCAGAAGTGTGCTGGATGTTCGCGCCAGCATCATGAGTGCGAGGAGGTTTGTGCCCTGATGTTTTGGTTGCGTCTTGCTTGGTTCTTCTCACCAATTATAGGTCCCTCCTCAGTTCGCGCTTTGTCTGGCCCGCCTCGTCGAGCTCGCTAGGGCTCTCAAGGACTACGAGTCGGGTATCACATCAACCGTTGAGGTCGATCGAGCGGAGTGCGTGCGTTTGTTCGCGCGCTATAAAACGGCGGTTGAAGCGTTTGTCACTCGCGACAACCGGTTGGGCGGGCATCGCCGCCCCACTTTAGAGGTCATGTTTCGCGAGCTCCTAGAGCAGATGCGACAACTCATCCGAGGGGTGAACACCCTCGCCAGCATCTCGCCCTCCTCCGTATGATCTTCCTCTGTTTTCACGTTGGTTGTTTTTTCTGACCTTTGTGTAGACTGCTGCGTCTCAGGCGCGTTCTGGGCGCGTCTCACAGATTCCTCCCGAGCTCGTTTTTTCCTTGCGACACCAGGGTCGCCGGGCGTTCCGCCCAAATCCCTCTCTCGACCCTGCTCCCCCTTCTCGTCGACGGCGCCATGCCGGCGACTCCTCTGCTACGGCGTCGTCGTCTTCTCGGGGCGGTGGTTCCGCTGCCACCCGTGAGGGTTCCTTTGTGGAGCTCTCATCCGATTACTCCGAATAAGGGGCTCGTCCCCTGCGTTTTGCTTCTTGTAATATATTTAGCATAGCTTACTTAATGTATGGTATCTTCATTCGTTGCTCTTCGCGTGCGTCTTCTCTTCGCTCGGTTATCAAACTCGTCACGCATCTCTTGGGCATTGTCTAGGTTTTCCCTCGGCAACCATTGGTTGTACTCTGTAGGGTAACCTTTCCATTTGACGAGATACCACATGCCATTCTTATGCTTTTTCTTGTCGAGGATTTCTTCGACTTCCCATTCCTCCTCATCATCAATGATTTCTGGGAGGGGCAGTTGGTTCGCCGTGTTCTCGCCTCCCTCCCGCTGGTGGTACTTTTCCAACAGTGAAACATGGAATGTATTCCACACCTTCCATGAGGCTGGTAATTGCAGTCGGTAAGCTTGCGTTCCGACAGGTTCGAGGATTCGGAATGGTCCAACAAAGCGCGGTGCAAGCTTTTTGCTTGGTTGTTTTAACCGCAAGTGCTTTGTTGACAGGAGGACAAGATCATTTGTTTTGAATGCCATTGGCTCGTGTCTGCGGTTATAGTATTTTGCTTGCTCTTTGCTTGCGTTGGCAAGGTATTCTTCAAGCTTCTTGCGTACGTCATGGAGTTGCTTCACTCGCTCATTGACGTCTGGCACTTTGCTCTGGGTTTCAATATCATAATAAATTTCTGGGTGGAACCCGTACAACGCAAAGAACGGGGTTGTGCCAGTTGATGCATTAACACTGTTGTTATATGCAAATTCGGCAATTGGCAGTAATTTCGCCCAGGTCTTCTGATACTGCCCGCAGTAGGCACGCAGGTATTCTTGGATTGTCTGGTTTTGCCGCTCCGTCTGTCCATCGGTTTGCGGATGGAATGCGGTTCCCATGCGTTTGCGTATGTGCAGCATGTAGCACAGTTCAGACCAAAATTCACTAGTGAACTTCGGGTCACGATCAGAGACAATGCCTTTTGGTAGGCCGAAGATTTTCATGACCCATCTTTGTATATCTGTCCACAATCACGAGGATAGCATCATATACGCGCCCGTCGCGTTTGGACGGCGGGATGCCACTCATGAAATCCATCGTGATTTCTTTCCATGGACGTTCCGGCACAGGCAACGCCTGCAATTCACCATACGGGCGGTGTCTCTTCACCTTCACCCGTTGGCATACGTCGCATGTTCGCACGTATTCTTGTACGTCTTGGCGCATTGATGGCCAGTGGTACTTTCTACTCAGGAGCTCAACCGTTTTGGCTGCTCCAAAGTGTCCTGCATGGGGGTCATCATGGTACCTCCTCATGAGCTCAAACTTTACTGCCGGGTCGTCCGGTACGTAGGCTCGACCTCGGAACAGTAGGACGTCCTGACGGTTTATTGACCAGTCACCCGCCCTCTTCCCGACCTTCCCTTGTAATGCGTCACGCTTGCTTTTGGTGAATTCGCATTGGGCCTGTAGTTCACGAAGAATATCGGGGATCTCCTTTTCCATGTAGGCTGCTTCACCTTCCATGGCTCTCACAACGACACAGCGTGGGTAGGCGCTTTTCCCTACTTGCCACGTTGTTCGTTGCCCACGATGCCCGCACTCTTCCCGCGTCCGGGATGCGCGAAGACCGCGTAAGGCCGCAGTCATAGCATCGCCACAGGGGCTCGCCTCCCTGCACTCTGGACTAGTCCCTGGCTGTTGCCCTGTGTGCCCGATCGCTTTTGATCTGTTTTTAAGCACCAGGGTTGCGCTCACAGCACTTT